TGAATGCAACTGCATCTCACTAAAATACAAAGATTGACTTCTGCTTCAGACAAAAACATACAAGTGTCTCTCTTAGCTTGTCACTGACTCTTCTTTAGTATTCACTCTGTGCTAGGCACTGTACCAGTATCTTGGTGTGGACTGTCTAATGATTCTTCGCAACAACCCTGTGAGACAGGAACTATTATTTTATATTTATGTCTCAAATAAGAAAATGGAAGCATGAAAAAAACTAAGGAGACTTCCTGTCAAGATGGTGGCATAGGTAAACATGGCTCATCTCCTTGCAAAACCACATCAAAATTACAACTAAATTATAGAATAACCATCACTCAGAACTTTCAGAAATAAAGTTGAATGAAGTCTAACAACTACAGAAATAAAGAAGCCACATCCATTCAGATGGGTGGGAGGGGGTGGAGTGCAGAATGGGCTTGTCTCATATCGATGTGTGGTGAATAAAAATTCAGAAGGGATATCTCAGGAGAAAGGAGTCACAGTGCTACACCAAACGTCCTACTCCATGGTTCTAGTGCCAGGAAGATAAATCCCCATAACTTCTGGCTTCGAAAAACAAGCAGGAATTGAGTCAGTGGAATTAGCTTTTGGAGTCCCATGCAGTTCCTCTTAAAGAACCCGTATATGGACTTATTTAGACTCACTCCCTCTGAGCTCCAGCACCTGAGTAGCAGCTTAAAGGGACCAACAGCATACAGGGATGAATTGAAGTGTCTGGCATCAAGGTGAGAACTGGGGGACAGCTTTCTTCCAGACATAAAGGCAAGCAGAGGCCATTGTCCCTTTTCTGAATCCTCTACCCACAGAACCACAGAACTGGCAGATGGGTGCATATCTGGCTCCATCAACCTGGCTTACACTGTTTGCCCTGACCTTTAGATCCCCTGAGGTTCTGTTCCACCCAACTTATAGCTGTTAACAGTGGTTTTTCCATATGAATGGCTGGTCCTGGCTCATACTTCACAATTTCCTAAATCCTTTCAAACAAGGCCTCAGTGAGCCCTCAGCCTCCTAACTACTTGCTAAGTGGCCCCAGGCACAGAACTAGAAGCATCCAGCCTAGATTCACAGTTGGCTTCACCTTGGAGTCTCCAAGTCCAACACAAGTAGCAGCCATCTCAGATTGTTTTATAGCCCAGGAACAGTGGACCCAGGAAGAACACAAGTGGGAGCTGATCTTGGCCTGCACCACCCAGGAAACCCCAGAGCCTCTGCACCCAGTTAATAGCTATAGACCACGTTACAGCACCTGAACGGATGATGCTCCACAGAGGGAAGAGGTTGGTGGTCATTAGTCATAACAAATCCTAACAGCTGACTGGCCTGGGTAAATTCCTCCTATTGACCTGCTATCAGCAACCAAGGTTCAACTACAAGAGGAGGGTGTACTCAGCCCACCGGAAGGGCACACCTCAAATATCCAGCTTGGGTGATAGGGGAAGATTTGCCACCGGACCTTATAGGACACCTATTGCATTAGGTCATGCTACCAAGACAGGGAGTCATAGCAGCTCTCCCAATACATAGAAATAAACACAGGGAGGCTACCAAAATGAAGAGAAAAAGAAACATGGCCCAAATGAAAGAAAAGATCAAAACTTCATAAAAAGAACTAAACAAAATGGACATAAGCAAATTATAAGATAGAGAGTTTAAAACATTGGCTATAAGGATGCTCAAGGAATTTAGTGAGAACCCCAAAAGCATAAAAAAATCCAGTCAATAAAGAACGATACACTAATTGAAATAAAGAACAATTTACAGGGAAACAACATTAGAGTAGATGAAGCCAAGAATCAGATCAATGATTTGGAATATAAGGAATCAAAAAAAAAACAGTTGAAATAACAAGAAGAAAAAAGAATTAAAAAATGAGGATGGTGTAAGCAGCCTCTGGGACAACTTGAAGCATTCCAACATTTGCATCATGGGGGTGCCAGAAGGAGAAAAGAAAGTGCAAGAAATTGGAAAACTATTTGAAAATGAATGAAAAAAACTTCCCTAATTTAATGAAGGAAATAGACATGCAAGTCCAGAAAGAACAGAAAGTCCCAAACAAGATGGACACAAAAGGTCCACACCAAGACACATCATAATTAAAATGCCAACAGTTAAAGATAAAGAGACAATCTTAAAAGCAGCAAGAGAAGAGCAGAGACTTACCTACAAAGGAGTTCCCATAAGGCTGTCAGCTGATTTCTCAAAAGAAACTTTGCAGGCTAAAAGGGACTAGCAAGAAGTATTCAAAGTGATAAAAAGCAAGGACCTAAAACCTAGATTACTCTATGCAGCAAAACTATCAGTTAGAATAGAAGGGCAGAAAAAGTGCTTCCCAGACAAAAAGCTAACAGAGTTCATCATCACCAAACCATTATTATATGAAATGCTAAAGGCACTTATTTAAGAGAAAGAAGATCAAAACTATGAAAAATAAAATGGCAATAAATGCATATTTATCATATCAACAACTGAATCTAAAAAACCTACTAAGCAAACAAGAAGAACAGAGACAGCTTAATGGGTAGAGAGCATTTTGATGGTTGCCAGATGGGAAGGGGGTGTGAGGGAATGGATGAAGAGGTGAGGAGATAAAGAAGTACAAATAGGTGGTTACAGAATAGCCATGGGGATGTAAAGTACAGTATAGGAAATGGAATAGTCAAAGAACTTATATTCATGACCCATGAAAATGAACAAAGGTGTGAGGATTGCCTGAGGGAGTGGGGGGGTGCTGGGTGGAGGGAGGCAAAAGGGAAAAAATTGGTACAACTGTAAACATAATCAATAAAATATAATTTCAAAAAGAAAATGGGGGCTCGATGAACGGGAAGTATATGCACAGTGGCAAAGTTTGCTATACAGATTTGCACTAGAGCTAAAGGAAGAGGAGTGTCCAGGATGGTTTCAAAGGGGAGGAAAGATAAAAATTTGGCAATGCAGAGTGGGGCTGTGGAAGACCCAGAACTATGCATTTAAAGGTCAGAGGTGATCATCAAAGCAGAATATTTTTCTTCTCAATTTGGCATCCTCCCAGGGCAGAGTATAAAGATGTGAGTAACATTGGAGACAGGCCTAGAAAGAGGAGGTGGCTGACAGAACTGACGCAGAGTAGGAAGGAATGGGAAAGAACCAAAATTCACAGGGATAAAACAAAGAGGGGGAGTTTCCAGGGTCTATTGAATTTTGCAATTAGGTCTTTGTTATTAATCACAAAAGCTATTATGTTATTTATGCCAAGCAAACATCACACACAATCTCACTTAATCCTCACAACCGCCCTGGAAGTATGTGTTATTCTCTGCAGAACAGTTTTGTGGGGGGCGGGGGGGGGGTTTGCTAAAGGCAAAACCCAAACTGCAGTGGATTGAGAACTGACTGTGTGCAGAGAGTGCAGTCTGCATTTGGGATAATAAGGGGCTGAGTCCCAACTGAAAGCTAGTCACTTTAGCACTGTTTTCTAATTTCATCCAAGCAAAACTCTAAAAGGGGTGTGTTGTTATTCACCTTCAAAGAAGAAACTGAGGTTTGGGAGGTCGTTGTGGGTCTGTGGCCTAACTTCTTTTCAATAAACCTCATTCAGCTCCTACAGAGGAAACAGATAGCTTCAAAAGGCATTTACTGAGAGCCTTAGTGCACCAGGCCAGACATTGTGATAAGAACATTTGCATGAATTGTCACGTGGAAACTTAAGTTTGAATGCTAGTTTATAATTAAGAATAATGTGATGATTAAGGGCCTGAGCCCAGGAGTCAGACTCCCAGAGTTTAGAGATCAGCTCTGCCATCTATGAGTGTTCTCGTGCCTCAGTTTCCTTATATGTAAAATGGGCTTCCTCATGAAATTCTTTAAAGATAATACACATGAAATATAAAGAACAAGTATCTAGGCCACAGCAAGTGATGGGTAAATCTTTATCTAGTAATGTAATGTCCATTCTACAAGCAAGGAAAGAGAGGGCGAGGAAGGATCTAGGAGTCAGCAGCTCTAAGAGCCTGCTTTGGATTTTGGGGTGAGGGAGGGGGTCTCCCAGAAGCCCTTGTGTTTGGCCACCACACACCATCCTGCAGAGAAATCTTAGGAGGAATGAGACAGTGGGGTGTGTGTTTATGGTTGTGTTTGCCTGTTTGTTTCTAAGATGGGATTGACTGGTACATTTTTTCTTCCTCCTGGGTGTGGGGGGAGATGCAAGGGGAAAGATGCAGAAGAGAAGGAGATACGATGACAAACTTCTCCGACAGACAGGAAGGGACTGCGGCGCTGCACAGGCACAGGTGCAGGGTCCGCGAGCTCGACCAGGAGAGACCCAGTCAAGGAAGCGAGGATGGTGTTCGCGTCTTGATTTCATTTGGAATCAGAAGAGAAAGAAGCCAGGAAAAAAAGTTACTTTCCTTTGCTCTCTTCCTGGCCAGGGCACAACCAGTGTTCTTGAAGGGGATTAAAACAACGGCCAAAAAAAAAAAAGGTCCCTCCTACCCTTTCTTTCTTCCTCGATCTTCTCCTTTCCCCCTCCTCTCCCCAACCACCACCACCCCTACTTCCTTTTCTTTCCCTCCCTCTGCTGGTTTGCCTGTTACTTCCCCGTTCGTTCCCTTCTGTCCTCCCTACAGTGGGTCCCAGCAGCCACGGAGGGAGAGGGCCGGACTGGCTGCGGACCGTACAGATCAGGCAGAGAAAGAGCTCTCTCTCTCTCTCTCTCTCTCTCTCTCTCACTCACACACACACACACACACACACACACACACACACACACACACACGCACACACACTCAAAACTCAGCTGGGCCGCGCCACAGCTGCTCCAATCCCAGGAAAAGGCGAGCGAGCGGGCCAGGCGTGCGCACCCCGCTCCGTGCCCCACGCAGCGCTAGTCCGGGTCCCCAGCGCCGCGCTACGGACGGGTGTGCCGGAAAATAAAGCAGAAAGGGTAAAGACAGATCTTGAAAACACCCTGGCCACACAAGCCACAACTTAAGCTTTTTCTCAGCGCAGGAGTGAAGACGGCGCCTGCAGCGCCCTGAGTCGGCGAAATCCGCGCCGCTGTCCGCCAAGAGCCCACCTGCCGTCCCGCGACACGCCAGAGCAAAAAGTGGGGCTTGTCACTGTCCTGCTCAGTCAGTGCCCGGGGCTACGGGCGCTCTCGCCTCAAGTAGTTTGGAGTTCAAACCTCGGCTCAGTCCCCAGCCCCTCGCGCTTCGGAGTGTCCCCCCCGCGACGCAGGGAGTGGACGCACCACCGGGACCTCGCTATGGCAGGGGCGCGCAGGCTGCTCTGTCTGTGGCTGGTCTGCTTCTGCGTTAGCCTGGCGCAGGGAGAGAGACTGAAGCAGCATTTCCCGGAGCTCAGCAAGACTGTGCCAGGTGACCTCTCAGCAGGTAGTGTTCCCGGCCCGGTGCTGCGGCCGCACGACAAGGTGTCGGAGCACATGCTGCGGCTCTATGACAGGTACAGCGGCGGCAAGGCCAAGGCGGCGCGGACACCAGGGTCCCCAGAGCGAGGCGCGCAGCCCCTGCGCCCCCAGCCCCTGCGCGAAGGCAACACTGTTCGCAGCTTTCGAGCTGGAGCAGCAGGTGAGTGTCCCAGGAGCACCCCTTTCTGCGGGCCCGCCCCAGGTCTCCTCCATCCCCCATCTTCCATAGCCTCCTCCTCTGGTCTAGGCCCTATAGTGCTACCTGGAGACTTTCCTTCGCCCTCCACAGCTGTCCTCTGAGCCCTTCCTCATATCACACCCCGCATTTCGCCAGCAAGCAAATCCAGGTTTAGAGTCCCAAGTGGTAGAAGTGGGGAAAAGGAGGGCTCAGAGCAGTGGAGGGGGTCGGCTGGAGAAACTGCGTGGGGACAGAAACGGGCTAAACACGCCCCTCTCCACACACACGTGCCCGGGGGAGCCTCATGCCCTGGGTGGTTGGAGCACCTCTGAGGTGCTTATGCGGATGTTTCTTAAGTCAGTCAGCGGTAATTCCCTTGGACTGGGCTTTAGCCATGTTTACGTGGAGGCAGGTGTCATCTTATGCCAACCGCAGGGTGCGGAGATAAAAGTCACACTTGAACTACAAACCTTCCTCCTGCCTTTTAGACAGCCGCTTCTCCAGACCTTGCACCCTTCCTAACGCGTCTCCTGTTACTGTAGTTGACACTTTTTAAAATTGATAGTCCCTTGGTGGCAAACACACACTAAGCCAGGTGCTCCGGGTTTCTATTATTTAAAACCCATCTGGGTATACAGGGTTGTACCATCCACCCCGGGAGGAGTGGGGGAGGGGGAGGAGCCGTGCATGTAAACACCTCTTGGAATCTGCGTTGAAAATCTGCTCATCCCATTTTTCAGCACGCAGATCACTGTGGTCTGAAATTCATGGCTTAACAAGGCTTCTCCTGGCCCCTGCGGTGAAGGGAATAACTTATGCTAACAGCCTGCCTCTCCTGTGCTAACAGCTTCAGGGAAAGTTTCCTGGACATTAACTCAGTTTACATGCTTTGAGGATGCACCAGGCTTTTTTGTTCACTGCATTCATGATAAAGGGAAACGGAACTGCAAAGCCTGTCTTCAGTGAACCATTGAAAAATAGCCAAGGCTGTTCAAGTAAGGAGGCAATGCCTCATGCTCTATCAAGTCTGTCAGAATCACTAGAAAGAAATCTCCCAAAGCTTTGATATGTAGGACTCCTGGAAAAAAAAAGGAAAACCAAAGCATCCATCAAGGAAAGCCCCAGGTTGACACTGTAAATACACTCTAGAGCTCTTAGGCATGATGACATTTACAATAAATGTGAATTATGCTTTCTAATGCAGAAGTCTTTAGCTAGAGTCTGAGCTGAACCAGATTTCACTTTCTTCTTCAAACCATGACCATAACCTGAAAGGAGCTGGCCTCTGCTAAGGAAACAGAAACCTGCTCTGCGTTCTCCATGGTGCACCAGCCACTTGTGGAGGTTGTTCTGACAGCTGACCACACCAGTGAATGCTCTGTTTACTTTAGTGCATGTCTGAGGGCAGAGCTCAGTGAGGGAGCAGCGTGGGAGCAGCAGGAATTCGAAGGAAGCTGGGTGGGCAAGGCAGGTGGATACATGGCCGCACTCACATCACTCTTACTTTGACATTTACTTTCTTGGTAATATGCTTAGGGAGCAGCTGAGGTACCCAAGCGATGAATAGTATTTTTGGCATCAAGTTTTATTTTTAGTAGGAATCACAAGCTTTGGAAGTGGAATGTGACTTTGTTTTCATTCACACATGTTGCATAGTTTTTGTATGTTTGTTTTAGGCTGAGTGAACCCTGAGTGGGAGATGGATAAGGATTTGGATAGCTTGGGCTCCATATGCTTTTTGGCTTCAACTCATTTCGCCCATTATAATTTCAAAGTGTCCCTTATCAGCCTCACTGTAGTCTCTATGCCATCAAATGATAAACTCTGATATGGAGGTCAGAAGTTCCCTTGAAATGAGGAATTGCAACTTGGAGCATATATACAAGGCTGTGTGCCTTGATAAGAAAAGCAATCCCTTTAGCATCCTAGAGACTGTCTTCATGATGTATTCATCAAACATGGACACAGGTTTTCATGGAAGCTGAAGTGTCATGTTACTACATTGGAGACTCCTGGAGAGGTGGTTCATGTTGGATCCCTTCCAAGAGTGTTTAGTTACTAACACACTAAAAGGACCTTATTAGAAGACAATTCTGGCTCTAATAAGGCAGGACTCCAGCAAGGTGCTAAGGCTTTCATGTGAGTCTCTCTCCTTTATCCATATCAACCTTCCCATAACACTTTTTATTTTGTGACATATGTTCACATATGTATGATGTAGGTGAAAAGTGCTATCTGCATTAATAAACTAGATATGTTTTCTAGTGCATGGTGTTTAGATCTCCCAACATATGGGCTTCTCTGTGCCAATGGTGTTCCAGACTTTAATGGAATGTCAGGTGGTGCGCTGTTTATATGGAGTAGCTGCTGATCCAGCAGACTTTCCAAGTGCTTATTCGGGCTGAGTTATAGCCTCAGAGCCCTGTTTGCTCCTTGGAACATACCTGATTAAAATTATTTATTGTTCTAAACCTAGAATATCTTTGGTTGAAATTTAGCTGCTGCGGTCTCCCTCTGATTACTTTCTACTTAAACCATTACTTGATGGTGGGTGGCATTCATCCTAAATACACTCTCCGCCAGCCCCTTTCTCCTCCCTCAGCGTTATGCAGTCGGTGTGCCAAAACCGTTAAGTTTGGAACGCTCATAAGTCTTTTTGTGATGTGTAAGGGTTTACATAAAGACGGGTTTTATCTTTTCTTTGTAAAAGGTAATTTACAAAATTACTGACGACAGGGAAGTTCAGCTTAAAACACACACACACACCATCTCGAAAGAAGACAAGAGGAATATGAAATCAGCTTTTATTTTCATCTCAGTTGAGGTTGTCCTTGGCTAATACATCATAAAAGAAGAATCGTTTACAGGAGGTTTGCTCCTGGCTTGATCTTTTAAGACACATACTTTGTGTTCATTAGTTTCTCATCATTTCCATAGTCACTTAATCTTATTTTTCTTCATCATGAATTTAATCTCTTTAGGAAGAGCAATTAAAGCACACAGGTTCTTATTAGGAAACTGTAATTATTTTAATTTATGACATACAAGCACAAAAATGCATTTCAGTGGGCATGTGTCACCTGTTTCAAAAATAGTCATACTGGTTTCATAGATAAAATAAAACGAAGTTGAATTATTCCAGACCCCAAAGTGAATGTTTTTTTTCTTCAGTGAGAAAGGGGAGAATCTTTCCTACTATGACCAAAGATCTTTAAAAATAGAAAATATCATTTGACATGTTTCTGCAGTGCTGGGCTAAAATATAAGGCTTTGGAAAAAACGCAGTTAAGGGGGCATTACTATGAAATACATAGGCCAGTGGGTCTGATGGCAAGGGGATATAATAACTGTATTAAAACATAGTTACCTCGAAATTTGTGGCACTTAGAAACTAGGCTTGAAATTAAAGAGTGCTTAGATTATCTGATATGTTTCTTCTAAAGACAATAGTACATCTGGAGGGGGAGGTGGCTATGCAGCTGCTTTGAATTACGCATCATTTGGAATACACGATAGTCTTTAATGAAGTTTTTACTGTAATAGGCAAGACAGCTTTACAATCTCTGACATTTACAAATCCATAATACTATGAATTCTTGATTATCCATGCTAATGGAAAAGTGAATGGGTTATATATAAAATAATTTAAATTTAGATTTTTCATATAATTAGACACACTCAAAGAGACCAAGAGACCATGAGGGTCAATGAAAAAGATCTCCTAAGCAGATAACTCACTCAGGGAAAATTTGTACATTAAATATATATACTTAAATAAGAATATATTAAAAGGGTTACATATACTTTATTTAAGCAGTGGATGTCGATAAGCACTTGATTGACCCAGTTAAGATTTTTCTAAAAATAAAATAGGGATATGAATGTCAACTGTGCTCATAAGCCTTTTGAAATTATACAATGTTATATGTGAAAAAGGATTTAAAGAAAGCAAGTCCAACTCCTTCCGATATGAAAAAGAAGTGGGTATCATGATGTGTTGGCTAGACAATTTTCAAACATAACTGAGTTCATCTCAAAAACTATTATTTCTAATAGTCTGATCTAATTTTCTAGGAGAAAATTTTGTAAAAGGGGGATCTCTGGACATTGTTAACAAGTTTTACTTAAAATCAGGTTCCATGGCCAAATAAGTTTGGAAAAAAATGATTAGTTTTCTATTTTTCTGGGACCTTTCAGGACCTTTAAGTGCTAGTGAGTTTCCTTAAGGCCGGCTCTCTCTCTCCCCAAGAAAGCATGTGAGAAAGCAGTGGTTCTCAGATATCTAGTCAGGGAAGCAATGGTCCAGGGCCTTCTACTTTCTCAAGAAAGAAGATATGCAAAATTCAAGTAAAAACTGTCTCATTTCTCATTTAGTACCCATCTCCGGATGTTTCCTTATGTTTTTACTTTTGGACTGGGGTCCCATTTGCATTGCATCATCCTCCTGCTCTCATGTTTTAAATTTCTGTGGGTATAATTTTTAAGACTCTCTCTGTCATTAAATTTAATTTTCCTCATTTCTTTATAAATTCTTCTTCATTATTTTCTATAGGATTGATATTTATCATAACTCATTCTTTTAAAAGAAAAGCTACCATGGAAAAACTCACTAGACATCATATACACCACTTTATTAATGTTTTATAACCATTAATACCTTGCTTAAAGACACATTTACTCAAGAAACTGATCAAATCTCTTATATAATAATCCCATTGTTTGTTGCACTTAGTAGGCATAATAAAAGCAGAGCTATCCATAAAGCCTAGTAAAAATTATTGAGCAACTTGGTATATACTTTTGATTCACTTTTCAGGTTCTTTGTGCTATAACATCAGAACTTTTCTCCCCAAAATTTGAAGGTTTCTCCATCTATTCAATTTGTATATCCTAGTAATCGGTATCTTAATAACTTTATATTGGTAGTAGTAGTAGAAAGGAGTTTGGCATCACAAAACAGTCTCAGCCTGAACTTTCCTATG